GTACTACAGGACTAGAAGTAGTAGGAGTACTGTGAGTTTTGTACCACAAGCACAACTAGTACCTGTAGCGGTAGCAGTAATAGTCGTAGTCGTAGCAGCAGCAGCACTACTACTACTGCTACAACATCAGAACCACCACCACCACCACCACCACAACCGCCACCACCCCCGCCACCACCCCCACGACCCACCACCACCGCCACCAACAACACCAGCACCGCCACCAGCACCGCCCCACCACCACCACCACCACCACCACCACCACCACCACCACCACCACCACCACCACCACCCAACATCGCCAACGTGGACGACGACCGCGACTACTACTAGTAGCAGCAGCAGCACCAGCACCAGTTGCAGTAGCAGTAGCCGCAGTACCAGCAGCAGTAGCACCAGCAGTAATAATGTTGCTTATTGTTCATCGTCCTGCTTGATCTGCTCCATTCGTACAGCCCGCAACGAGTTCACCGCGCTGGTGATGGAACCTGGCCGCTTAGGGCTTGAGGTTTGGGATTTGCGGTGTCACTGGTGCGTTGTTTTGGGCATATGTGGTGGAGAAGGTCCAGAAGCTAGGGATCCATGATATGGATTATAGTATTCGTGTATTTTTTGAGCAGGGCCCCAGCATGTTGGAACAGAATAATCTGAACTTTTCGGAAAGTACTGGCCGCCCTCTTGACACCCTGCCATACGTGGGTGCTAAAAGCCAAGAAGCAAAGAAGAAGCGAAAGCTAACGAAAGCCTTACACCCTGTGGCTAGACTCTCTGATCGCAGAAGTGACTGTAAGCACCATCTGCCTTCCACAGAGATGATCATGACCGGTATGCTGTTGGATATAAAATGTGGCTGCTAGCAGAGAAAGGTCTTGGTGGAAAGAAAAATCCACTTGAGCTTTCATCGAAATTAGAATCCCCACATCTAAGAAGGCGTGATCCATGACAGAAACCCTTAGGGGGACCTATCTTTGAAAAAAGCTGTCACCGTTAGCTCTACATCATAGATGTGAGGCGCTGGCACAATTTGAAATCCCTCTGCAGCCCCTCATCATATTGAAGGGCTACATTACAGACAGAATTCGAGACATGCGTTTTGGGCGTGGCATGTTGGACAGACAGGCGCGTCCCACAAGACAGCTCTATTCGCTATCCTGGTGAGCTAGGAGCAAAATGAGTCTGGGACGTGATAGCAAAGGAAAGGTCAATGTACGAACACAAAGTATCTTGTTGTCCAATGTACCGCTACAGAAAAACTTGCATGCTGCAAGTGCCTCGTGCTCCTATTTCGCACTGACACTGGCACAACATGGAACCTCCTTTCCTACACCCCCAGGCCAGGTAGAACCTGCCTGGGTGTCCCGGCAAAAACAACTCTAAACGAACTGAAACCAAAAGCAATGATTACAAAACCCTAAACGCCCTAAACAAGGGTATTTCTGAAAAATTCGGGCCCCAATTTGGTACTCCCAAAAACTTAAACGTAGGTGCAGTCATATAATCGATGACCGTAAGCTGCCTGAAAGAAAGAGCTGTGGACAGTGGCCTTTGAGCTATAGTCTAAACTCCTTAAAGGGGGTTATTTAGGGGAGCATTACGGGGGTTTTTAAAGGGGATTTTAGGAGTTTAGACCCCAAACTCTAAACCCTATAATGGGGGTTTAGGGTTTAGAGTATAGCTCTTTACCGACAAGGAGCTGACGAAGGATGAAAACACTCCCATGGCCAAGAGGATGACAAAAACCGCAAACGTCCTGGAAAAGCGAGGGAAGCACTGGCTTTGTCTGTTTGATGTTAGCATTACTATTCTTAGTATGAATAATATGACTGTTCATAGTGTTGGTAATAATAGCATGACTATTAATGGTATTCATATGATTTAGGGCACAGGGATTGGGTTTCGGCAATCAGCCTCTAGTATGAGCGGATTAATATTTCAAATAGCCATGAGAGGCGCAGAGCGCGAATGATCTAAACGGCGTGGGCAGCATCCGGTGTCCTCTCCGAATAGTTCACCTCGGATGTCACACTCCTTACATCTTACGCGAAACTGCTCAGCTAGGTCCTTGGCGAAGTGCCACTGAGCGTCATGGAAAAGCTCAAGTCCTTCCTGCAAGCTGCCCTAAACCCCAAATAGTAGTTTCCATTTTATCTTCCATTATCCCAATATAACCCCAATATTATACCCCTATATAACCCCTATGATGGTAGTTTCCTCCCCAATCAGGACCCTGGAATGCTGATTGGGATCATGGAAAAGAAAATGGAAACTACCCTAATAGGGGTTATATAGGGTATAATATTGGAGTTATATTATTTGGGATAATGGAAAAGAAAATGGAAACTACTATTTAGGGTTTAAGGTTTATTCCACTGTTGCCATGCACTCCACATCCCAACCCAGCAAGTAGCACCCCCACAAGCGGACGAGCTGCGGGTCCGATGTTGTTAGTGGCCGGAGTGAACTGGGTCAAACTCCAGTGCATGGCCTCAGAATTTCCCCGGTCTTGGGTCACAGCTATAGGACGACAGAAGGCTATTGTAAGTAGGCTCCTGTAAATTCGGATCCATTTGAGCTATAGTCTAAACTCCTAGTATCCCGCTCAATAAGCCCTAAAACACCCCCCCCATATAATCTCCTATATAACCCCCTTTTACCTGCTTTGAGGATGTTAGACTATAGCTCATGTTGGGAGTCTTTGCGGGATGTTTGGAGTTTAGGGACTCCGCGGGACATCCTGAATCTTTGCCTGTGCTGCCGCTTCCGACGTATGAGAAACGGTGCAGTTGCCCAAAGAAACGTAGTAAGGACAGGACTGTGATGTAGCCCTCAGAAAAAGTTGCCTGGCAGCCAAGAGAAGGGAGACCACAGCGCAACATCATATTGAATGTAAACTCCGTGTGAAAGTCAAGGTGCCGTTGGGTCCGGCGTGACAGGGATCGGGACTAGCTGACCCTTTGCTGATGATGCTGATGCTGACGATGATGATGGTGATGTCGATGACGGTGATGATAACGATAATGATGATGACGATGATCATCATCATCATCATCATCATCATCGTCATCGTCATCATCATCATCATCATCATCATCGTCATCATCATCATCATGAAAACCACAGTCGCACAGGATAGCTCAGAAAGCATCATCACCATCATCACCAGCAACATCTTGAGAAGTTTACACTAAATACAGCAACTTCACCGACAATAATGCGGTTGAAGCAAGAACCTCTGCATGACTTGACATACCTGAACCCGTTGGAAACATGCTGGCTCAGCACGATTCGCATCAGGCAGGCTCATTCCGTCATGGAAAACTCTCTGTTCATTGCTGGGATTTTTGATGTTGCTATCAACTGCTGGCACCGTCACCATGTATTAGCACTGCCACCTCTTGCATCGCTGCTTCGGTAAGCCAGCTGAAGGTGTCCACGTTAATGAGGCCCACACCTGAGGTTGACCACATTGGGCCTTCTCAAAACAGGGAAGCCCTAAGAGACCTCATCGTACATGGATGCGATAAGAGGATTACGAAGACACGCTGTGAATCCATATTAAGAATCCCATAGGGCCGTAGGGAATGTTTTGGAGAAGGAACTGCCGGGTGTAGGGATTCACCTGTAGTTGTGCATGGTCCTTGTCATATCAGTTTTCCTTTAAGATGCGGGGGGGGGGGATCTTCTTTCTGTCCAGGAAGAAGATAGGTTTATTTAGAGGTGTGGATCAGCATCAAACTTAACATGCAAGGATTGGAAAGAGCTTTCTTAGAAGGCCCCAATTTCAGTAAAGACGAAACATACATTACCCTTCCCCCCCGACCCAGCATGATGAAATAGGGCTGCACGATGCTCAACCCAAAACTCTCGAGCATGTGTGGCAGCCTCGGCTCCCCACTTTTGATATAGCCTTGGGGCAAAGATCTTCAGTCATCCCTAAACCCTAAACCCTAAACCCTTAACCCAATTATGGACTTAGGAGGCCTTAGCCTTGGCACGGGAGCTCGGGCCTGCTCCGAAGCTTGAAGCATTGTTTAGGGTTTAGGGTTTACGGTTTAGGGTTTGGTGTTTAGGGTTTAGGGTTTTTAGGGTTTAGGGTTTAGGGCTTAGGGTGGTGGGATGGGAGTAGGGGTAAGCATTCCTACAGATGTCCCTACATCATTGCTCACAATGGTCCCTTTAAACGATTCCTCCATTCCCTGCTAACCCTTCACCGGAAGCTTAAGCATAACTGATGGATCCTGGTACGCAGGATTCGTAGTCGAGGAAAGGAAGCTACAAGAGTTCAGGGTTCAGGACTTTGGGCTTTAGGGCTTTAGGGCCTAGGTGTGACAAGGGAGTTCCAGACATTAGGCTCCCCCAAATATTCGACCTATTCAAAACCCTAAACCCTAAACCCCGTTACTCTTTGAACTCCTAAAAGGGAACTCCTGAGTTTTGGAACCCCATATATAATAGTGTCCATTTCTCTTCCACTATCCCCATATTACCCCTATCCAACCCAATATACTATAAAGTTGCTTCCGTTTGCTTTGCCATTTGGTTCTCCATTATCCCTAAGCCCTAAACCCTAAGCTACAAAGAATCCTTCGAGCCAGCGTGCCGTACCAGGAGCAAGCGATGAAGTGGTTTACTGCCAGGACCATGCCGAATCCAGATAGAATCTGACGGCAGGGGGATATATATATATATAGATATAGGTTTATACCGGGAAAACATAGGGGACATATAGAGTATATATAGGGGTATGAAAAGTGCCAGAAGAGGCGAACACAACATGCAAGTATCGCAAAACATCATTCTGCAAGAAATGAAGATTCTAGAGTTGGGGAGCATGTAAAACTGATTCTTACAGCTGCTTTTGCGAAGCATCACCTACAAACACTGCTTCTGCATCCGAATCCTGTGCAAACGTCTTCAGATGCTTTGCTTTTCAGGGACTTGCTTTCCAGACCGAAACCCTAAATCCTAAACCCTACACCCTAAACCCTAGGGACCCCCGCCTTCAGGATCATGAGGAAGTACAACGAGGAAAAGCGATTGGCCAAGATCTGCAGAGCCTGCAGGTGGTCTGGTGAACTAACAGTATGCCTGCACTCTAGTCGGAAGTTTCTCAACATGAGGTGTACCTTTTTGAGAGTCCCGATAATAAGGATTGAGATATTTTGGAGGCCATATTGGGGCCCCCTGTCTGGGAAGTTACCCAGTACAGCTTCCACTCACATTACTTGTTGCGCCTGCTTGAGCTTGCCAATCCGAAGCAGTCGCATCAAGCGAAGAAGGCGTAGAGATCGCAGAAGGCGCACCGTTCTGAAACCACTCGCCGCGTCTGCACACAGCCACGTGGTAGCTTCAACATCTGGGATATACCCCTTTGTAAGCCTATATCCCTCGTATCATATAATGCCATATATCCCCTATATACCCCAAGATCTCCCTACATATGTACCCCAGTATATACCCCTGAGGTCTCAGCCTCTAGAAAAACTTCCAGACTTAAGACATGATTGATGGAGTGATCTTCAGCTTCCTCGCAGGGGTTACAAGCATGACCTCCTAGCATCAAACCCCTTACATATCCCTTATACATATAGATTTATATGGATCCACTTTTTCCCCTATATATTCCTCAAATACCCCTGTATATCCCTAGTATATCTTCCCTATATATATTGCTGTATATCCCCATTTTAGGCCGAGACATGCCCTATCCGTTGACTTGGCGCCTCCAGCCGCAACGGCCTCCAGGGTGTAGAGCGTCACATCAATGCCAAGGAGGAGCACATCCTGCGATGCATGGCCAAGGGCAAAGAGTGGGGATGTATCTATATGTATATCTCTCTCTATATTATATATATAGGGATATGTAAGACTATAAAGGAATTACATGGGGTACATAAGGGTTTTTGTAGGGATATATAAGCATAGAACCGGGTATAAAGCGGATATATAGGGGTATAGCGGGGCACAGAGCTTGAAAACTGCCATTCCTGCAGTGGCTGTGATTAGCCTCATCAGGGCCACATGCGGGAGTTGTGCTGTTGTGTTGGGCAAATCGTGTGTGCATCAGATCTAGGTACTTGACTGGATCTGGGGATGTATCATTCTACACAAGTCTAGATATGCACGCCAGCAGTACGCACGGTGATGATGCTCCTGACTATTCGGGTTCTTGCATTACTTTGCATACTTCAGCTTGTTCGTGGAAAGGACTCTACATTGCACATGCGGGAAGTGTCAAGTCAAGGCCTAGCCAGAATCAAAAGAAGCACTTGATAGACGTGAATAGCTCAGTAGGTCCTCAAGAGATGGCCGCAACATCATACGGTGCTGGATATGGGGGTTTCCCAAAATTAGGAATACTTTGTTGGGGGTCCCCATGATAAGAAATATGATATTGAGGGGTCCATATTGGGGTCTCCTTATTTTGGGAAACTACCAATATTGAGAACCTTGACAATCCCTGTACTGAAGGTCAACCAAACATTAGAGAGCGCACCAGGAAGAACCACGAGCGCAGGTAGTGGTGAGCGATCACCTGAGACAAGGAAGAAGTGCGCCCTTTTCTCCTTTTCACAAGTGGGTGAGGCTTGAAGTGAGGGTTTATGGGCTGAGTAAGTTGCCAAGTTTGGCTTGGAATGAGCCGCACGGGTACGCAACAAGAGTTGTTTGGGCAGGAGCCAAATTCTGCGGGGGGACTGTAGGGCGTTGCAAGAGTAAAGTCTGCAGAAAGCCTCTTGCAATCTGACTCAGATTTTTTGTCCGCCATCCCCAAAATATAATGGAACCGCATATAAACTCCGTTTCAAGCAACAGTACTCTTCTGGCTGTTAAGGAACTTAAACTAAGTTCGTGTAGAAATCAAACTCAACTCGTTTAAGCCAGGGACCCTCGGTCGCATCTCCAGCTGGCCTGGTACACGGATTCAAGGTTTAGGGATTTAGGGTTTAGGCTTAGGGATTTAGGGCTGAGGGATTTAGGGTTTACGGTTTAGGGATTTAGGGTTTAAGGATCCCTGGGTAAAGTCTATCGTGTTTTTGTATCAAGCTTTGGGGGATTCAGGAACTGGAGGGTTTCTAGGGATTGGGAATTAGGGGCCTCAGGATTTTTAGGCTTAACAGATTGGGGTTGAAGGGCATCAGGTTTTACGGTCCTCAGGGATCAAAATTCAGCATCTCGGGTTCTTCGCATGTAGGGCTTAGGGCTCAATGTTTAAACCCTAAACCCGTTATTGCCGATCCGTAGGCATGGAAAACCCGCGTATGCGGTCACCAGCATTGCTAAGGAATCCTACATGTAAGATTGTCAAAAATTCTAGTCTCTGTGTGGGGTATCCAATATCCTAAAAACAGGTGATTTTGATAACCCACCATATGCATGCCAGAGCATACTGAAAACCCTACCTCATGTGGAGCTCAGGCTTCGGAGTCTTGGCTGCAGGGAAGATGATGGGTCCACCATGCACCCCAAGTTCAGATGCGCGCCGCTAAGGGATTTAGGGTTGGCATGACATCCAACCCCTCCCCCCAAAAAAAAAAGATAAAGTGCACCGTACCAAACAATTAAGGACCTTCTGATGGTTATCCCAAGCAAGGAGCCCAACCTTGAATTAGCCTAGGCCCCAAAACCCGCAAACGTGTATTCCGCCCAGTCATCCAGCGGACTGACTTTTACGGCAAGTAGGCTCGCCGTCCATATGAGCTCTAGTCTTAACTCCTTAAAGGGGGTTACATTAAGGGGAATTATATAGGGACTACTGGGGGTTATTAAGGGGGATAATAGGAGTTTAGACTATAGCTCATATGCAAAACGAGTTACGCAGACCCTAATTAGGTTCCAGGCTTACGGATGGCATCAACACTCTCATGAGCGGTAATTAGTCATGAAACCACCAGCAAGGACAACAGTAATAAATAATGAGGATAACAACGATGATCAACAACGGCCTCACCGTGGCACGGATACGTGTCATAAGCATATGAGCTCTAGTCTAAACTCCTTAAGGGGTTTTATATACAGGGTTATATGGGGGACTATTACAGGGATTATTGAGGGGGATACTAGGAGTTTAGACCTAGGAGTTTAGACCTCAAACCCAAAACCCTACATCCTAACCCTATAACAGGGGTTATTCAGGGGGATACTAGGAGTTTAGACCTCCAACCCAAAACCCTACACCCTAACCCTATGATAGGGGTTATTCAGGGGGATGCTAGGAGCTTAGACCTCAAACCCAAAACTCTACACCCTAAACCCGAAACCCAAAACCCTAAACCCCCTAAAACCCTGAACCATAAACCCATATCCCCTCACCATGGAAGCAGAGAAGATCTATAGAAATCCTAAACTGCACGTGACTTGAACTCTGAAACCCTAACCCTGAAATGGTTTAGGGTTTTAGGGAGTTTAGGGTTTTAGGATTTTAGGGTTGACGGTTTGAGGGTTTAGGGTTTTAGGGTTTTAGAGTTTTTTGGGTTTAGGATTAAGGCCCTAACCCTAAGGCCCGAACAGTAAAGCCTTCAACCTAAAACCTGGAAACCCTGAGCCCCAAACCCAACCCAAACCTGCTGCTCACCAATCCGCTTGGATTTAGGGTTTAGGCGATGCCTTTCTCATCCACAGCAAAGATGAACTGCAGGAAGACATCCAGTAGGAAGTAGCCAAAGGTGATCCGCCCCATGATGTCCAAGAAGTCTGCGCACCGAAGCTAGATGGGGGTGTCTTAAAAGGTGTTGGGGATCGCGACGGGGTATGGGCATTGCAAGGGGAGCATTACGGGCGTAACCCTAAACCCTAATCCTATCCCCAGAGTACTCTACAGGGGTTTTGAAAAGCTCCCAGATCCAATCCCCTACTTTCACGACCCGTCGGCCCTTGATACTCAGGACCTGTCAGAAGGCTTCCAGCACTGGAAAATGAACTCTTCGGGCAGGTTTTAAGATACCTTTAGAATGCCCGTCCCAGCCTAACAAAGGAAACAGCACGACGGCTCCCAAAACTGCGTGGTGCCTGAGAAGCCGGGGATGTCGAACATGGCCATGGGGATGGTCACCTGCGCCGTTATCACAACAATAAACAAGAATGACAATACTTACAATAACAATACTAATTAATAACAATAATAACAATGACAATGCTAACAATAACAATACTAACAACTATAACAATAATCAGTAGCTTAGCAACACTTCGGCAGCAGTCTTTCCAGCGGGAACCCTCTGCAATCCCCATGCCTCCCCATGTCGCACCCTAAACCCTTGGGGTTTAGGGTTTAGGGTTAAAGCCCATCAAACAGCCCACTCCTTCAGACCAGCAGTTGCAAGAACACATGAAATGCAGAAGCACTAGATTAGGGTATATATCGGGATTCTAGGGGTTGTGTAAGGAAAAAGGAAAAGACAATGCAAACTGCTATTTAGAGTGAGGGCGACGGCCTTACTACCAATAACCAGGAAACTCTTTCAGCTTTTCTCCAATCCCTCGCTTGGCGTGCTTGTAGTCTGTCTGAGCCAGCCACCAGATCCCAAACAATGAAGAGGAAACCGAGAAAAGTCCTGGGCTTGCAGGCGAAACTCGTTTATAGGGCATATATAGGGGTTATATGTTGGTAATGGAAAATACAATGGAAACTACTATTTGCGGGATATAGGGATAATGGAAAATAAAGTGGAAACTAAAACATAGAGAGATTGACAGAGAAGCGGCTCCTTCTTAAAAACCCGTTGTGATGAAAAAACCTATTCATGGAGACCCAAAACGGGAGCTCGAGTTTTTGGAGTACCCAAAAAAAGGCAAGGAAACCTTTTTTCCACCATGCAACTAGGCCACAGCTTCAGGTCGAGGGGCCCAGGTCTCAGGGCCCCGGGGCATGAATAATTGAGAACAAGTCTACTGTCAATGCTTCCCCAAAATCATAGGTGCTGAATCCAGGGGTAGGGCTGTGGATAACACAAAAGAAGACCAAAAGATGAACTTGCATTCCGCCCAGAACCCACCCCTGGATTTAAGCTTGCCTCCTTTCGTGACCTCGAGTTTTCAGGCAATTGATATGGAAGACTCTTTTCTGGTCACCTCGCGCGCAAGCTCCTAAGTAAAAGAACGCCTTTCCAGCACTTTCATTTCTGATTATCAAATCCACTTGAGAATCCGAGTTGAGCCATCCAGGACTCAGGTTCTTGAGGAAAGCCCACCTTTGAGGGCCTAGAGGCAAGGATAAGCCTCAGACCAACCGCAGGCTCTGCGGCCACTTTTAAGGATTTGGGGCTTAGGGTTGAATAATGTTGAATAGATCTGACAACTATATCCTCAAAGACTAGTACTGTAGGAGGACTACTTTGATTTTGGAAGTACACCATACGCCACACTCCGTACCCTAAACAAATCAAGAAAAGCCAAGCATCCATGTCACGCGCTTCGGGCTCCTTGGCTTTTGAACACGGTTTAGGGTCCGGGACAAGGGCCCAGGAAAATTCAAATGGGATCAAATGGGTGTTGGGTAGAGGGTGGCGTCATGGATTGAAAGACACTTTCACGGGAATCATACAAGGGCTACAAGAACTCCCTAACTACTACGAAGTAGGGAACAGTTTTTGCTTCGAATTGGCTAACTGTTAACTGAGCTCCTGAAGACGCCAACCAAAGTGCGCTTGCTTTGAATGCGGGTGTCGTCGGTTTGGCCAAAAGCCGTTAATCCAAACCCCAACCACCAGTGGGTGAACACCGGTTGCCACAAAGTTGGCGTCATTCCCAAACTCTGAACAGGCTTGGGAAGTGATGTAAAAAGGGTCCTGCTTGCAAGCTGAGCATCGATGGTACAATGATGAATGGCTGCAGGCACGTATTGTCCTTCACCTTCTCATTCATTCTGACCTCTGAGCTATCAAGGCGGCCATCTCAAACATGAACATGCGATGGAAGGCACCGCATCCATTATTTTGGGGACCCATTTGCAACCTCCATGTTGGCAAGCAGAAACTGTTGGCCTTGCCCCCGAAAGTTGGTCCTAGACTTGGGTCAAGAACACCGTTGCGACATCTTACAGGGATGTGCGGACAACAGAAATTCAATGCGGAAATTCATCAGTTGTCAATGGAACCTGAATCTGGAAAATCACAGATATGCTTTGCCGACTCAGCTTCTGGATTCGGCATCAGGTACTGCAATGAAGTTTGCTCATGATGTACCCGTAGAACTCAACATTTCCGGGCATAACAAAATCAGGGCTTCTAGGGCACCTAAGGACTGGAATTTTGTCATGTCGTATAGCATCCCTGTAAGGGACACCCCAAAAACCGCATGTATCCTTGTCCCCACGAGAACCCCTTTTTGAAAAACCTTTAATGTAAGGATGCTACTGCAGGGAGCGCGCTTTGTCACATGCTCCCAGAACGTGATCTTCAGTAAGTTGGCCTTGCTAGAGCTCAGGACTTCAGCTATTTCAGATCAGGGCCTTATTCTTTCTGGCACTCTTTTGGTCCAGGCTGGCATGTCCCAGGATTCTTAGGGGTTTGGGCTTCAGGCTTAAGATGAAGGCTGAGCATCCGTGCTTCATCCCTGTAGGGTAGGATTTAAGGTCTTACACCCTGCCCGATTGGGCACCCAGCGTGTCAAACATCAATGTTCTGAAGAAACCGGAGCTCGAAGCGAACACTACCTCCTACATCACAAGCCCTAAGGCCCTAAAACCCCAATACTAAACAGGGCTTAGGGTTAGGGTTCAGGGTTTAGGGTTTAGTAGGGTTTACCTATGCCAAGCCCTTCGCTCTCAACCCCAACTTTTCCAGCCCCCGCCGTCTCGCTGGGGCCCCGTCCGTAACTCCGCGCATGGATCTCCTGCACGGCTCCAATAAATGGAGAATCAAATGGAAAATGAAATGGAAATTGGGATTATATAGGGTTTAGGGTTCAGGGTTTAGGTTAGAAGAAGGCTATAGGGGCGCTATAGGGCTGAAGGTTTACAACTTCAAGGTTTACGGTTTAGTGTCAGAGGTATGAAGAGGTTAAAGGAGCTAGAAGGGCATGTATAGGGCTTAGGGTTCGGGAATACTGGAAAATCAAATGGAAAAGAAAATGGAAAAGGAAACTGGGCTTCTCTAACGGTTTGGGGTGTCTTGGTATATATTGGGGTTATGTTTGGGATTATATGGGGATAACGGAAAAGAAAATGGAAACTATGCAAAGGCATGTGGTGGAGTTGCTTGGGTTTGAAGAGTCTGGGGCTTGACTTGCTGTCGCTCAGCAGTTTGCGCTTTATAGGTTCAGGGATGTGCATGAATCTGGGAAGTTGTAATGATTTGGCGGGTGGATGAGGGATCCGAACCCAAGCAGGCTAGAACAGAATTACAAATGACGGAGAAAGTCACCCTAAAAACTGAGACCACTAGCAGGAAACCAAGGGAGGGCCGTTCCAATCCCGGAGGCTTGTAGTTCCCCTTAAGTCGATAGAATATGCTTTTGGGTATATTATACTAAGATCCCCATATACCCCATATTCTATCTACTTAAGGGGGACTATATGTGTGGCAGTCAAGAGATTCCGGCTAAACCCAAACCCTGAACCTTCAACCCTTTGACTTGGCCCTGACCCCACAGAGCAAAAGTCTATAGTAGGGGTTTCTGCTCAGAGCTGTATACATCCATATTACACCTACTATTCAACTGTTATTGGGGTGGGGGCAGTGCCCAACCCTGGTATAGGCCTCTGGGGTCCCCATCATAAGGATTATACGATTTTGGTGTCTATATTGGGGTCCCCCCGTTTTGAGAGACTGCCAGATCATAGAGTAGCTTCTCGAAACTGCAGGCTCCTTGCTGGGTAGCCGCGGACTCTTTTGACTACGCTTACTTTATGCGAGGGGTTGGGGGTACCCCAACGTCCAAACGCTTGAATGCATAGGTGGGGGTGGTAGGGGGCCCAAAAAAACTAAACCCTGAGCTTTAAACCCTAATTTCAAGAACTCTTCGAATGGTCAGGTCAGCAATCCCGGGAGCCGTCCTCTTTGCCTTCCGCTGCTGCTTGTAGGACTCATGCAAGCCGCGATTCCATGTCGGAAGCCTTGGATGTATGGTTCGGGGGGGTTGGCGTCCAGGACCCAGGGTTTGGAGTCCAGGCTGTCTAGGCTTGACGTGAACATTTCAGCTCAGAAGCAGGTTGATAAAACTGCTTTTGTCGCCGGAGTCTGCCTGCAAGTGAGCGGAGAGAACATGACAACAGAAGGCAGCAAAACGCAACTGTACTTCTGATTACGGTTATCGTCACAATAAGCCACAGTAGTGCTGCTCATGTTGGGCAGAATGCTCGTCACAGGCCTCTTTCCCCGCCCTTGGCGGCTCAGTCAGCACTGGCACCATTTGGGTCGACTCCTGCTGACAAGGGTTACCGATAGGATTGATTGATGTTGCGGGGTCAGATGTTTGGCCAGGTGCCGTGATGCACATGCAGGCGGATACTGACCAGCGTTCAGAGGCAACAAGTGCTGGATATGCCGGCACAGCTGTACCATCCTCAGCAGCGTCTGTCAGCTTCAGGCTCATCAGGAACCACTTCTCATGGACTCGCTGGGCCTTTCCAGGGAGGTCAGCGAGAGGCAGGGAGAGCAGAGGGCTGTTCATGCGATCCAGAATCTAGAGATCTGGAGCTGGGCTGGCAATGGCTGGCAAAACCTTGCAACCGCCACAGTCGTCTCTCAGAGCGGCCTCGTGGGCCCAAGCCTTCTCGAAGAGATCCGAACCCGAGAGCTTTCTGCAGACCTCGCTGCCGTCGCCCGTCTCATCCCCGTTCACAGCACCTATCCAGACTGATTTCTGCAAGATGGCGATGACTCAGAGTAGGGTATAGTCCCCCTTAAGTATATGGAATATGGGGTATATGGAAATCTGATTATAATATACCCCAAGCCATATTGTATCTACTTCAGGGGGACTACATATCTTTCGGACCCTGGGGAAAGAGAGGGAGAGCGAGAGAGGCGTATGTACATACATAGGTGTATACAGTATACATATACACACATGGTAAGGTATGGGAGTAGCACAGGGAATCCCGCTCTGAGAATTTGAAACTCCTAGATTCCAAGGGCTCCCAATCGTCCGTTTGGCCTTGCGGCGGCTTGACAAGCTTGGGTCCCATAAGCCCGGCAGAGTTGCATGCCTTAGAGCGACATGAGAGTTTCCAAAACCAAGGGAGCGGGAGGGTCCCTGAAATCAGAGCGATGATTTCATGGGATGTGTAAGGGGAACCCTGATTTTCTGGAAATGCCCTGAGCTCCCCATGCGCAAAGTTGCGAGAACAAGAACAGAAAAGCCAGAGGATCTGAATATTATGCCTGCTGCTACCGAGACGAATATTTGCAGACCGAATGTCACAGCTGAAAAATGCATCAACCAGCAAACCCTTCCACAACCTAAAATGGTAGTTTCCCAAAATTGGCGGACGCCAAAATAGACCCCAAAACACTACAGCCCAACAATTGAAGCCCCCGAAGAGGTACGATTCTTTTCAACTTATGTAAGCCTTGCTCAGACTTTTTTGGGGGAGGGGGCGGGGAAGAAGTTTGGGACGTCTCAGGCTGCGTCTGTGGAAGAGGAGGAAGCGCTGCGGTGAATAGTCTTGTGGGACTCCCTCGCTTCGCCATTCGTGGACAACACCTGTTGAGCGTTTAGGGTTTAAGGTTTAGGGCTGTTGTTTTCTAAGCGCCCCTTTTGACCCATGGATCTCAACCGGCAAAGGTGTAGGGTTTAGGGTATAGGGTTTAGGGTTTTGTGGTGGTTGAACCAAGCAAGATAGAATTTGTCCTAGAAATCAGATCCCCAACAGGTGATCTTACTCTCTATTAGGGGCCATAATATCGCAGAAGAACTCTACTCGCCTGCACCATGAAAATGCCATATGGGGGAGAAAACTTCACACTGCAACACATTGGAGCAACGAAGATGAGAACTTGTTTCATAGCGTGTGACCTATCTGGCATGTCGCAGCCCAAACAGCAAGCACCTTCCGGTGCTCTTCCAGCAGCCGCGTTTGCAAAGCACGCAGCCTCGAGTGTGATTCAGCAAAAGGATGCAGGATTTACGGTTTAGGGTCTAGCTAAAGGATACAGGATATGAACTTATTAGAAATCCTGTCAGGACCCCTCCTTGCACCCTTTTTAGGGCTCCGAAGTGGAGGGTGACTCTGTTTGCACATTTCCCAACAAGGGGAGGCCATGATGTAGACTAGTACCCAGATGCTGACTAGTGTTCTCCAAAGAATTCCCATACAATCCCATTTAGGAACCTTGCAATCCCTTTATTATCCTCAATATACCCTCAGGGTCCTTATAAAGGCCCGCAGCTTTGGGAAATCCCGATGAAGCACGGTGCGCTTCAGGGCTCGCTCTTGACGTACCGAGAACTTGACTGGGAGCTTCTCCCAAAAAGATGGTTCTTAACCATTGGGCCTAGGCCCTAAACCCTAAACCCTAAACCTCAAGCCCTAAACCCAAAACCCTGAAACCCTAAGCCCTAAACCTTAAACACTAAACCCCATACCTTTAACCCAAAACCCCAAACCCTAAACCAAGCCAAGCAGCTCCTCTGCCAGGGTGACCTCGCGCAGGGAAGCTTGTAAAAATATTCCCAAAATCAGTGAAGGCCACATCATTTCACATCTTCTCAGTTAACAAGTTGGTCAAGCTTATGGACGTTTAGGGCTGTGTTATTCCAGTTGCGTGTAATCTTCCATCAATGGCAAGAACTTGAGGTTTGGTGGGACTTGTCTTCCAGGCTCTAGGGTTTAGGTCTCATTTGGTGTATTCCATGCTTGAAGGTGATTTTTTAATGCCATATTCAACGGTCTGAAATTCTGTCGGGTCGTTTTGCGCTGCTTTTCGGCTCTAGATTAGGGTCCCCCTATTTCGGAAAACGACCATATACACTGACATCCACCCTGGCTTTCTTGTGCCGCTTACGAGTGGTGAGTTCTGGGAAGGGAAACCTGCAGAAGCTTCAAACCAAGGCCCCTGAGGCCCCTTCCCAGCTTTCTACTTTTGAGTAATGGAAAGGTCAAGACATATTCTTAAAGGTTCGGGGCAACCCCCCCCCAGCGCAAAGGCGACTTAGCAAGAACAGCTCAGTGATGGGCATGTGACTGTTAATGGTTCCATGATACATGAATCGAATTCGTAACTCCGTTTGTCAAGTCTCCCAAGGCATTCAAGAGTGGGCCCATCCCAGTACAATCCTTTTTCTGGGGACCCCAAAACGGCACACTGACTTTGGGAAACCACCAGATGGTGCTAAGCGCAAACTCTCAAGAATCCGAGCCTCGTAGGGATCCGCACCAGATGCCATTGGGGGCTGTTTCGTGCCAACCGGTAATGGGCCAGATTCAGTTGAATTTTGTAATTCACAAGGCCAACGTAACAGCTTGTTGCTTGGTGCATCTTGCTGGATTTTGAACACTGCTGGCACAACTGTCTCGAAGGCCTGTTAACACGCGCCACATCTAGCTGTAGGGGCTCAAGCCAACTCAAGGCGACAAACGTCAAGCTCCCAAAACAGCTGCACACATTCAAGGTATCTTGGCCCATAAAATCTTTACACGGCACGGCGCCAACCCATGCAAGCTTTACTTGCGAAAGTCCTCACACTTTGATGTTTTCAGCTGTCTGCCGCCCTCAATCCTGATATGCATTTAGAATTTGAAATTCCAAAACGAGGTCATCAAACATATGCTGGACTCGCACACCATCTGCTTTGAGACGAGCAAGCTGACAGCAAATTGCCCTTGTTTTACTGCACCAGCCCCGCTGTGACTTGCCTGCTGCTCCCTATGGCTCAGTCACCTGCGAAGGCTTTACCAGGTGCAAGTTTTTTTCGGGCGGTCTCAGTACCTTCCCTGGGGTGATTGCAAAAAACATGCAGAGGTGCACACAGCTTCTGTGCAATGCTTCTTAAAAAATGAATGGAATGAGCCTTTTCCAAAGCCATCGGGTACTTGCCCTAAGGCCGGGCCCGGGATGACTTCATTAGATTTGTTGGCTTCTCAACATTAAGTAGTTACCGGATGTATGGTTTAAGGTATCAGGTTTAGGTTTTGGGGCTTAGGGCTTATCGTTGAGGATCCTTGTTGGGATCCTTCTGTTGGTGTTTAGAGTATTTTGAATGGACCTGTTCCCGGTGTGCCCAGCAGCCTGAGGGCTCTCACGCTTCGGGCGCTTCGGGGAGCAGCTAAGTACAGGACCAAAGGCTTGAAACCTGTTGATTATCCAAGCTGTGGTCACAATATGAAGGTCGACAGGACACTGGAAGGTACATTCCTACTATAATCTACTATATTTCCACTTTATTTTTGGTGTTCCCTGTTTTGGGGTTCCCGTTAAAGCCAAAAAATCTCCACATCAGTAAGGATCCCTGCGGTGCGTAAGCAAGTCAGGCAGCCCTGCAGTTCCCAGAGTGCACCCTGTTGGACCAACTCCCCAAGCGCTCTGGGTTCCGGACTGCCGAAGCCATCATCACCACTGCCCCGTGGACGGCCTGGCCACTGCAAAGGCCCAAACAAGGGTTTCCCAAACTTTTGGGGGCCCCAATACGACGGATTATAGTATGATGGAGTCTATGTTGAGTTCCCCTATTTAGGGAACTTCCAAAGACTCACAACACGGTTTTGGCAGCATGGTGTTTTCTAATTCCGCAAGGATTGTCAGGGAGAAATGCCGGTAAGTCTTTGAACTTGCACAGTTGTCTTGACAAGTTCTCTTAGCGCGTAAGGTTTAGGGTGTGGAGCTTTAGGTTTGGGATTTAGGGTTGAGAGTTTTCCCGAATGCGTAGCAGAAGGGTTCCCGTTTTTAAGTTGGGGTCCAGGGTCCAGGAGGCGACCAAAAGTCGTTGCGTTTATGTTCGTCAAGCGTTCGCAAGCGTTCGCAAGAGTTCGCAAGCGTTCACGAGTGTCGGAGAGTGTCGCGCATCGTCGGGAGTCGCAAATCGTCGCAGGGTTTAAGGGTTTACGGTTTAAGGTTTAGGGTTTAAAGGTTTAGGGTTTAAGGGTTTAGGAGTTTAGGGTCCAGGCGTTCGGATTTTGGAGCCGAAAGATTGATAAGTTTGAGGCTTGAGAGGGGATTGCCTCCAAAAGCCTGAATTATCGAAACTCAAAGAGAGTGAGATGGAACCTCGGGCGGTCTAGGCCTTATATTGAACATTCACAATAGTACGAACATCGAAGGGAATACAGGAAGCGTTAGGGGGCTACAGCGGGATTCTAATATGTCATAAAGGGATCCTGTCAACCGCGCTCCCCAAAATAAGAACCCTGTGGCAACAATACGACCTTTATGGGCTCCTTATTGTAGCGCCTGGGATTACCAAACTGAAAAAAAGCTCTTCTTACCGATTAAGGCAAGCTAAGCCTACAGACTATGTGACCACCACCATGAACGGACCGTCAAAACCTTATGCCCATTGTGGCATGGAGCTTTTAGGATTGTTTAAAAAACGATGGTTATAATTACCCCAACCCCTGAAATAATGACCCTATTGCAGTCATGTAATAATTATGGATTCCCCATTATGGGAGTTGGAAGTAAGAAGATCCCCTTGCTGACCTAAAGCCCCACTTATTACTTCGGGCATGCCTCCCAGTTCTCCATCCAAAGTGTCAATGTCACGCTCGAAGAGGTGAAAAAGACGCCCCACCTTGCAATCGAAGGGCTTCTGCTTCTTAGTTTTTTGCTTTTTTTTGCGCGCCTATTTTGCTTTCTGCAGTGCAAAAGGCCATAGGCCTAGGCGGGGGTCGGGCCAGCCAAACTCAACTCATTCAAGCACCGGAGTCATGTGCCAGCATCAGCTGGTTCGCCTCAAAAGCTTCTAGGACGGCCTTTCCAGAAAGCCTCTCTATCTGCTCAGAGGTAAATCCATTGGTCCTCCAAGCACGGAGAACACTGGTACCTTCATTCCCCAGCATAAACTCCGTCAAATCACTTTCAGCAATATGACTACACACTGCTTTTTAGTTTAGGGTTTAGGGTTTGTGGTTTAGGGTTTAGGGTCCGGGGTTTTTATTTAGGACTCCTCAAACCCCAAGCACTAAACCGGTAGCCCTACAACCCCAAACCCTAAACCCTCCACCTTCAACCCGAAACCCTGCACCCTGAAACCCTAAACTCTCAACTAAACCCTAAGCCCCGAAATCCTGAATATCCCAAACCCTCAACCCTCATGCGCCTGCTCTGCCTGGCTTTCCGGATGGTCCATGGAGGTGGGAACTAGCGGGTTGAAGACGCTTTGCCACCGGCCTTGCAAACAGAGCATGGGGGGTTTAGGGGGTTTGAGGGTTTGGGGTTATTGTGGGTTGACGTTTCAGTCAGGCTTGAAGGTCTGGGTTTGAAGGGCTTGAATAAGTAGGATGGTGGAGAATCAACTAGGGAAGATGGAATGCTGAATGGAGGCTAGGATTATAGAGTGTTTTCATGTGTTTTCTATGGAGTCTGATTGTATTAGCCTGAAGAATTACTAAGATCGTTATTGTTGAGGTACCCTGTACCGAGTGCCATAATGCTGGTAACTATCTAGGCCCCTGTGGAGTGGGTTGTTGTAGCTTGTTTTGTAAGTATATTAAAATACCAGGGTGCAATAACAATTGTTATTCAAGCTTAAACCCCATGTAATGCCAGTCTCCATTTCATTTTCCATGTCCTTGTGCATGTAAGGATACCCTAAACCGTAACCCTATAACTCCCATACCCAAGACCCGATGTGACGCTTTGTACAACTTTGGAGGGCTACGTACTTTAGAGTTCTCGGTGCCTTGGGCTGGGGTTCAAATTTAGGGTCTAGGGTCGAGGGGTTTGGGGGTCTTGCCGCAACCATCGGAGCTGCGCATAATTGAGGTTCCAAGCTAGGCCCTGACCCCTACACCTTCAGCGTTAAACCTTAAATCCTCTACCCTAAATCCTCAAACCAACTCCTCTACCCTAAACCCTTAACTTGAATCCTCTACCCTAAATCCTCAACCCGGGCCCTGAACCCTCCTCATGCGCCTGCTCTGGACACGCCAAGCTTAGGGCCATCATCACGCAAACCACTGGCAGCCATGCAGCCGCTCCGGAATTCCATCCGGCAGCTGGTAAGTTACTCTAGAAACACTTAATGAAGGCTCCCGTTAAAGGAGTTTCAGAGGTTCTGCAGGGGTAGTTAGGGAAATATAGGGTTTAGGTTTAGATGAGCTGGGAAGTAGCTGAATGGTTGGTAAATGTTGGTATTTATACTTCTTGGGGCCCTGGACCCAAAACCTTAAACATAAATCCTAAGCCCCAACCCTAACAGCCGCCTCCATGTTCCAACCTTGGTTGGATGTGAAATGGTGCTATGCTGTCCGACGAGCCATGACACAAGGACAAAGGTTTAGGGTTCACTGACCGCCCTAGGTTCTCCGAGAGACCAGCGCTTCGAGGGGAGCGGGGGGGGGGGGTAATTCACGCATTTGAAGGTGCTAAAACTATGG